TTGACCTGCTGGGGGCTCAGGGGATCCCTCTGCCTCAGCCTTCCAAGTTGTTGGAACTACAGGTGTGTACCACCATGCCTAGTTAATTTTTTGATTTATTGTAGAGACGAGGTCTCGCCAAGTTGCTCAGGCTGGTCTTGAACCCCTGGGCTAAGGAATCCTCTCGCCTCAGCCTCCCAAAATGCTGGGATTACTGGCTTGAGCCACCACTCCTGGCACATTTGGGTATTTAAAGCCCCCCTGTGTGTGGTATTTTGTTACAAAAACTGCAGTACAGTAGGTAACCAGATTATTCATGTGGGCATAATCTGAAGGGAAGCGTGGTGGCCATAACCTCAACACACTATTGATACATGCTGTGATTTGAATGTACCCCTCCAAAATCCAAGTTGAAACTTAATCCCCAACGTGACAGTATTAAGAGATGAGGTCATTAGGAGGTGATTAGTCCGTAAGGGCTCTGCTCTCATGGGTGGGATTAGTGCCCTTATAAAAGGGCTAGAGGGAGAGAGCTTTTCCCTTTTTGTCCTTCTGCCATGTGAGGACATGGCAGTTTCGTCCCCTCTGGAGGCGCCATCTTGGAAGCAGAGAGCCTTGATCTTGGAATTCCCAGCCTCCAGAACTGTGAGAAAAACATTTCTACTACTTATAAATTGCCCAGTCCGCAGTGTTTTCTTATAGCAGCAGGGACAGACTAAAACAACACAACATTTGGAATGCTCTTCTTTTGAGTTCACACTTGCCTTTGTAGTCCTTATGACAGGGCAGTGGGCCCGTGCAGCCTATGTAATAGTAAAGGTCCTTACACCCCTTAAAGTGCAAAAACGAACAGATGTCCTCATTTTAACAAAGAGGAAAACGGGCACAGAGAGAGTATAACTGTTTGCCCTGGGTCTCATGTACAGTCGAAGGCAAAGATGGACATGGAAGCCAATAATAACAAGAGTAAGGCGTGGGTGACGATGATTAATGGTTCTCATTCCGGGTGAGCTGTGGCAGGGCCCCAGGTTTGAGTATTATCTTTAAAAACAATGGTTAGGTTCAGATAGCATCTCTGTGTTGTTAGAGCTTTTGGTTCTTTAGAAAGAATGAGCAAGCTGGGCTCGGTGGCTCAGTTTGTAATCCCGCGCCTTGGAGAGGCTGAGGTGAGTGGATTGACTGATCCCACAGGTTCGAGACCCGCCTGGGCAGGGAGACCTCATCTCTACAATAAATCAAAAAAATCAGCCAGGCGTGGTAGCGCATGCCTGTAGTTCCGGCTACTTGGAAGGCCGAGGCGGAAGGATTGCGGGAGCCCTGCAGGTCGAGGCTCCGGTGGCTGGGAGCACTCCAGTCTGGGCGACAGAGTGAGATTCCAACTCAAAAAAAAAAAAGAATGAGCACCTTTTCCTACACTTGCTTATTGGCCATTTGTTCCAAGTTTTGTATAAGAAGAGCCAACTTATTTTGCAAATCATACAAACGAGCTGGGCTTGGTGGCTCATGCCTGTAATTCCAGCACTTTGGGATATCTATGCAGGAGGATAGCTCGAGGCCAAGAGTTTGAGACTAACCTGGGCAGCACAGCAAGATCCTGTGTCTAATTTTTTTTTAATTAGCTGGCTATGGTGGTGCATACCTGTAGTCCCAGTGACTCAGGTGGCTGGGTTTGAGAGGATTGCTTGAGGTCAGAAGTTCGAGATCAGCCAGGTCAAGATAGGGAGAGCTTGTCTCTACCAAAAATTGGGGGCGGGGGGGGGGAACCAAGCATGGTGGCGTGCCCTGTGGTCCCAGCTACTCTGGAGGCTGAGGCAGATCCTTTGAGCCCATGAGTTTGAGGCTGCAGTGAGCTATGATTGCACTCAAGCTTGGGTGACAGAGAGATCCTATCTCAAAAAAAGAAAAAAGAAAATGACATAAATGGAAAGCGTTAATTCTTTAACAAAGTCTTAAAAACAACCACGTTAAGAACCGAATGCCAAGAGGAAACCTTGTGTCAGCCTCAGCCTTTTTGGGATTGGTCCTCCTACAGGGGTGTGTGGCTAGGAAGAGATGACCCATCCTCGACAGATACATGGTCCTTCTCCTTGCCAGGACTAAACAGCTACAGGGAGCTGAACCTCACCTGCTTGTTTAGTTGACGTTTTCCCTTAAGACACTGGACTTCCAAGGGGGCTTCTCTGCAGGTTGGTTTGTTGAAAAGATTGGTTCTTTCCATTTGCTCTCCAGAATGGGTCTCCCACCAAGGAGCCAGTGATTTAAATAGCTACTTCCCTAATTAATTCCAGACATTGGAAGTATATCCAACCTGCATATTTTATTAAAAGGGAAGAGGGAGGTATTTATTAAAGTGTGCTCTGCTTAAAAAAAAAAAAACAGCAATCTGATGGCTGCTGGAATGTGATAACTGAGAAGTGTCATGTTTGTGTCATACTACTGGGAGTCCATTCACAAAATCTGGTTGACAGTCACCGTTGGGGCCCAGAGAAGCCTGAGGGAGAAGTTGGTTGATGCTCCCTGGGGTGTCCTCGTCCACCTTCCCTGTACTCTGATGGAGGAATCAGGGATTCTGCCCTGCTCTGGTGGGAGCAGGTGGACATCCCCAGGGTGGGCACAGGCCCAGGCTGTGCCTGCTAGTTCCTCTCACCCAGCCCTTCCCTTGGGGACAGCTCTGTAGGAAGCCACTGAGCAAACCCCATCTGCCATCAAGACATTGTGACCTGAAATGTGGCCACTGTCTGGTCGCTTGCTTTTTTTTTTTTTTTTTTTGATGGGGTCTAGATTTTTTTAAGTTGTGATAAAATACACGTAACATAAAATTTATCATTTTAACTAATTCAGCGACATTTAGTATATTCATTATGCTTTGCAAGCATCATCACCATCCAGCTTGGAAATATCTTTGTTATACCAAAAAGAAATCCTCTATCCACTAAAGAGTCACTTCCTCTTTCTCCTCCCGCCCCCCGCCCCCCGCCACCCCGCAGCCCTGGCAACCATTTATCTTTCTGTCTCTATGGATTTACCTGTTCTGGATATTTTGTACAAATGAATCATACAATATGTGGCCTCTTTCATCTGGATTCTTTCACTTAACAATCACTTAGATTCTTTTTCAAAGTTCATCCATGTTATAGAATGTATCAGTGATTAATTCCTTTTCATGGCCAAATAATATTCCATTATATGGGCAGAACGTGTTTTATTTTTCCGTGTGTCTGTTTATTTGTTCATGAATTTATTTGTCCATGCATTTGGGTTGTTTCCACCTTTTGGCCATTGTGAATAATTATGCTATTATTTATCATCTGTACAAGTTTTTGTTTGAACACTTGCTTTCAATTCTTTTGGGTATATGCCCATGAGTGGATTTGCCAAGTCCTAGGGTAACTTTTTGAGGACCGTCACATTGTTTTCCACAGGGGCTGCACCATTTTACACTCCCACCAGCAATCTATGATGATTCTACCTCCTTACCAACACATGTGATTTTCCCTTAAAAAAAAATAAACATCATTTTGGGTGTGAAATAGCATCTCACTGTGATATTGATTTGCATTTCCCTAATGACTGATGATGGGAGCATCATCTCCTGTGCTGTTGGCCATCTCTCCAGTGGGCAAGTCACTCTCCTCTTAGCCTCAGTTTCTCCATCTGTCTAAAAGGAACCGGCCCAGGTCTGTGGCCTGCTGGTATCTTTGCCCACCGTAGCCCTGAGAAGAATTTTGAAAAATGATGGCCCTTTGACACTCTTTAAGGTTGACAGCCATGGTTTTGTCACTGTGATGTTTCCAAGGTTGCCAGGTATGTGTTTTCTCGTGCCTTTTGACATTTAGAAAAATAAAACTGCTCTCCACTCTATAGAAGAAGCAAAACCTGACATTCTGTCCTGCTTCCAGTGTCATTGAGTAAGTCACAATTCCTCAGTCAAAAACAAGCCAGACCAGCAAACCACTTTGCACCCTGAGACAAACCAAAAAATCGGGGTCCCCAAATCATGAAACTGTGACAACTTGCTGTGAACCTGGACGCCACAACGTCAAAAATTTTAGCTCTAACCTTTGCCTTCCTATCCTGTGTCCTGGCCTTTAGGATTTGCATAATCACGTGAGAAAGTCACACCTTGGTTCTTGTGGGATTTCCACCTGCCTTTCAGTTCTTGTTGGATTTTTGTATTTGCTAAGCCAGTCCTTCTGAAGTCTGACTCCTTTGCACTTTTTGCAAGAAAACTTTTTCTCTAAATACAAAGGGCCTCTAGTTTTCCTTGGACAATTCTTTTAAATGTATCAAATGAAATGTAAATAATGTAGCAACATGACCCCCCACCCAAGACACCCAATACAAGGACAAATTCTTGATTCTTTTCTCTGCCACCTCAAGATTGTTTCATTTTTTCCATAGAATTTTATTTTAATTAAAATATTTTATGTTTGAAATTAATTCACTGATCGCCCAAGCGTACATCTCTGCAACAAGAACAGGCACATAATTTATTCATACTTTAAAAAATATTGACCTATGTCTTGAAAAAACGCACACCAGGTAAATTCTTTTAGAATTAGACCATGTCTAGATAGAAATATCGGTGTATGACTCATAATTTAAATTTAAAATATTTTATTTCTGGTGACCCTAAGACTCTCTAGTATTTAAAAAATTTATTTTGAATTGAGTAATTAATACAATTAATCAACTCTTGAGTCAGCATAAATATATGAAAATTGTGGCACATATTTATTGTATATATAAAAGCTAAACTTTTGTTGAACTGTATCTCTTAATGAGATGGATGAGACTGTGTTTTTTTCAAATGGTTTTGTGTCATTGGACGAATATTACTTGTTATCTATGGTAGAGTTCAGAGTCGATTACGCCTGCTTTTCATTTTTACTGGTGTAGACTATGAGAAATGTCTGTTGTACAAGTTGATAACATGATAACGGGACAGTTTGGTTAGGCTTTGTCGCTCCACTTTAGGAACTTCAGAGAGTGAAGCCAAAAGTCACACAGTGATCTATCACCAAAAGCAAGACCCAAAAAGTCGACCTGATTGGGTTATCCAGCCGGTGGAAAGGCTTCCCGCCCTCGGGGATCGCTTTTTCAGCACCTGCGGTACGAGAGGGGCCCGGGTCCTTCCATCGCCCCGAGGCTCCCCCACTGCTCCCCCCTCCACCCGCGTGGGACAGAGCGGCGACCCCCGGAGCCGCGAGCCTGGTTAGGGGCAGAGACGTCCCCGAGGTCCCTGAGGTGGGGGATCCCGAGGCCCAGCCCCTCCGAGGACGCGCCCTGGCGGCCACGACGCAGACACCCTCGGACCGGTTGCGCGTCCGAGGCAGGGGGTGCTCCGGGCTGGGCGAGGGTGGAGCGCCGCGGGCCGCCATGCTGACTGTCCCGTCGCGGGGTCTGGGGCCAGGATCCACCGCGCCCCCGGGCGACAGCGCCGGTCCAGCGGCAGAGGCCACGGAGGGGCGGGGAATGGCACCACCCCGCTGCGCGTGCGCGGACCCGGGTGCGACGCGGCGCCGGCTCAGCTTGTCTCGACGGCTCCTCCGCCCGCGTCGGGGTCCCGAGTGGGTGTGTGTGATGTGGTTGTGCTGTACGTGCACGCAGGGTGTCAGGGGTCTGCGGTGTTCGCAGTGTGTGTGGGGTGCGCGACTGTGTGCTGTGTGCATGCGTGTTGTTTCGTGTGCATGTGTGTGTGGTGTCGTGTGGGGAGGTGGGCTGTGTATGTGCAGGAGTGTGCAGCGTATGAATGTGACGGCGTGTGGCGCGTGTGCGGCGTGCGCGGGGTTCCCGCGTTCTGGTCCCGCCTGCGCCCCAGCTCCCGGCTCCGCGGACCGCGGCGGGATCAG